ACATAGGAAAGAAATTTTTAATAAAATAAATATAATGCGGTTCTATATGAGTAAATAAGGATATCCTAAAGAAAGAAATCTATCCTTTTGAAATTTGAAAATCAAGAAAAAAAGTTAATACATCAGAAATATCCCACTGGGTCCAACTAGATGTGTTAGATACTCTAGTTAGTGTGTCTAGTTTTCTAACTTTTGTTCTCTCTGTGCTCTCCCAAAATGAATAATCACTAGATTAGCAACCTCAAAGTATACATTCTCACTTGTTCATTTTAGTATTTCTTTATGGACCTGTTGTCTTTGGATTTGTCTAGTCCCGTATGAACCTGCTTGCTATGTCTGCAGCTACTCCAGAAGTCCACAAATGCTTTTTTTAACTCTCTTTTAAGTTGTTCTCCTCTGTCTTTCATTAAAAGCTTCCTAGTTTACACGCTTGAAAAGGTCTTTTGCTAAAACCATGCAAAGCAGAACCAGAAAGGGGAAAAGGCTCAGATACTTTTGCAAGACTTACATGCATCAGATCTTGCAGATCTGATATGAGGAGGGTACCTTCACAGTTTTTATGAAGAAAACAGAATTATTGTGATATAATGAAACAGTCCTTACAGTATTCGCAAAATTGGAGTCTCCTCAGTAATTTCGCATCAGCCTGTCTCCTTAGGCACACCTATGCAATGTATAGGAAAGAAGGAATTTTTCCTAACTTGAATTCACAGATGTTTTGTGGTAAATTCCACAGCTGTGACCAGAAACTGGATGACCTTGTTAGTAGGACAGCCACAAAGTAACCATGAAGTTTGGTTTTGATTATAATGTCTGTTTTTCTTCTTCTTGAAGTCTGTTCCTAAAATTTGATGTGCTCATGTAATTGCAATGTAGTTCACTGCCCTGCTTTACTTCTGGTGAAGGGAGTTTGAGACTTCACAGATGAGAAGAGAAAGAGAGAGAGATGGACAGACTGACAGGCAGACACAGAAGCCCACAGTATGATAAAATAAATGATATCACTGATGAGCTTTTCTGTCAGTGTATATGAGTTATTGAATGCTTAAGCAGAAATGTTCCATGTTTTTTCTAACCCTTATCCCCCATAAAACTCAACAACTAAAAGGATAACTGACATGTAGTTTATTAGTGGCCTTAAAGGCTTTCATCTTCTTTTCCTTTTCTACTTTGTTTAAAAAACCCTTCTGTAACAGAAATATAAATCAGATTCCCTCCAGTGGTGTAAATTTTCATTTCTTCGTAGGTAGACGGAAGGGAAAGATTTGTAATTCACTTACATTTCTGTGAATCCAAAAGTTTTTGGAAGTGACTGCTGTTTTGGAAAACGTGAACGGTTGGGGCAGGCATCTTGCATTCTTCTGGCATCCGGATGTTGAAATTCTTGAGCACTCCTTGTCTAAAATGCAGCCTTTTTAATGTGTGTTAAAAGAAACATGACTCACACTGAGGCCTCTGGAACTACTCATTGTTTTTGAAAAACCTGGTTGTTGGTTTTTGTAGTTCTGGACTCTCAAAAATACTACTTTCAGGTCTTATTTTACTACCTCAGGGAACGAATTTTAGGCAGTCACTGAGTGACACTGTTGCTGTCTTGTTGCATGTTTCTACGTAGACATGGCTGGAACAACTGAGCAAGGCTGGCTCGTGCCACTGTCCACCCTTCCTGTTGGTGCTGGCCTTCTGGATAGAATGCAATGTGAGTTTGATGGGACCAGCAAGAGGACATATAGCTCCTAGTCAAGGAAGAGGGATCACATGGGGTCTGAGGGGACACTCTGGGCTATGGAGTTTCTTCATCTGTCCTGTATTCAAGAGTTACTGAACAAAGTGCAATGAAAAACTTTCGGAAGGAGGGCAGCAATCCAAGCCTTCCCTTCCCAAAAGAGTGCGTCATGCCAACAATGTTGAGGGCTTTGATTTATTTTTCTTCTTTTTGACCCTCAACATACCTTTATTGTATGGTTTCTGAAAGGCAGAGAAAGACCTACCACCTTCTGTTCTCTTCAGAACTTTCTGATCTGTTCAAATCAGAAAAATCGTCCAGGCTGCCCTGCGACAGCATCTTGCATGAGAGTGACATTAAACCCAGCCAGGTCAACTTGCCTTATGAGGAGCTCTCCAGAAACAGCTGGAGAGAATTTTTATTTGAAGACAGCTATCTGAGCTATTTAAGAAATCACCCTGATGTCTGAACCATTGTCACCATTTCTGAGTACTCCCCTTAGCTGTTCTGGCTATTCCTCTGCTCCCTCACAATCACCTTTTCTTTTCATTCTAAGATGTTTGAAGTTTGGAGGTAGAGGAAATGAAGTGCATGTTGCCAGGCTCTGTAGGAAAATCCTAGTACCTTAGACTCAAGCCTTGCTGATGAGCAGAGGGCAAAGGAAAGATACTAAAGAAATAAAGATTCCTCCTTCCCCTGGCACACCTGTCCAGCTGTGTCGTAACGTATCTGCTGTTAGTGGACTGTTTTCCAGTAATAGACGTGAGCTAAGATGATGTCTGTCTCCTCTTCTGTACCCTACAGGTTTGTCAATGCCTGGTTTAGCATCCTCCTTCTGGAGGCTTATACAGTGCGAAGACAGATATAGATAATAGGGACATCTCTATGAGGTAAAATCTGTCCTTTTGATGGAGGCCATTTTAATTTATATAGGGAGGGGAATACCAAATACACTTACTCAACATTTAAGCACTGGACTGGTTGAGTCGTACATTTGTCTTTTTACCATGTAGGGTCTGAAGAACATTATCAAAGTTTTGAATCTGAACTTGCAAAGCTAGTTATTGCTGTGCATGGTCAAATGTCTAGAAAGGAAAAAAAAACCCCAACCTGTATTTCCAGGGCTACTATGTGCTTGGAACTGCCGATGAAACCAGTCGAGTTATTTTTTGCTTTTAAACTGATTCAGTTGAAGGGTGAAATTGTCCTAGGTTTTAACCAATCACAGAGAAATAAAATACCTCATCCAAACTGTTTCTGTGTTGTGTTTGTTGATCTTGGTGAATTTGATAACATCTTCAGGATGGTGCCGTCTAGTGTTTGAAGTACGAGGTGGACTCAGAGTGTATGGAAGCAAAAAATGCCAGGGTGTAGTAAGGCTCAGATATGGCAGTGTAATTGTGTGTTTTTTAATGAACAGACCAGAGTAGTTACACTTAGTAATGTTTGTTCACTAAAAAGGAAAAGGGGTGTTAAATCATTATGTTCTTTGATGAATGGCTTGTACACTGAAGAATAAATTGAACAAACTGGCATAGAGCTCAGTGAACATGAAATCAGCTATTAGAAAAAAGCTTGTGAACAAATTTTGAGCCTGATATGCATCTTTTGATTAATGTCCTATTAATCATCCATAGTGGCTACCTTAGCTAAGTCGTGCTGTAATCATTCATGGTTGCTTACAGGAACACTAGCAGGGACTATAGAGCTGCAGTAACTGAATATTATTACTGATTTCTCCCTAACTCTTGCTGTGAACAATTACTGTTTTCACTACATTTCTGCCTCCCTTTATTAGAAAGAATACAATGCAAAATGAAAAAAGAGTTCCTCAAAGACGAGTAAAATTCTCCCAGGGTATTCTTAATGATATTCTGTCCTAAATGGGTAAACTATTGTAATGCAGAGTTCTCACCAGAAATAATAGTAATCTAATCACATTGAAGCTGTCTTTTTATGGATTATAGTCAAACAGACAGAATGTATAGTCATATTAATGAACACAGAATTTCTGTAGAATTATTACTTAAAATGTTTGAAATTATTTTAGCTTTTTGTATCACGATATTTTCAGTTAATGCACTTAACAGCAACAGCAATTAAGAATCCATACTGTAAATTTGGATTCAATCCACCCTTTTGTTATTAGAAAAAGCCTTGATTCTGGAAATGTATACTGCTCGCACCACTCTCTTTTAAGACCTGTTTTCAATTAACATGGCTCTTTTGAACTGTGGTAGTTCGGTGTTGTTTTTTTTTAATCAGTGAATATTTGTTATATTTTTCTTTTTTTCTTTATGACTGGAAGTTATTGGCAAATGTTTACAGGAGGATCTCATATTCCTGTGTGTGAAAATTTAGTCCCACACCATTTATTTCTCAAATGTGACACAAAGAATGCTTTGGCACTACCCACAAAATAGGTCCTTAGGTGGCAGCGTAATTTCCTCCAAAGTCACTGTGGTCTCGGAAATACAGTGAAGTAATGAAGTGATGACAGGTATTAACATGCATAATGGGCTTTAATAGACATTTAATGTTGTTTAACTGGAAGAAGGAGAAGTGCTTTCCCCTTGGAATATTTCTACATTGAAAGTCATTGATCACCAATTTCAGAGGGGAAAGGTTAATCCATCAGTTTCTGTAACCAAACAGCACTGATGGAAATTCTTTAGGTGACATTCTGGATGAACTGAGCTTTCCATCTTTGCAAACAAATGAGTGATATGACAAGCATGGTGTTCAGAACACATTTAACCAATTGATTTTCTCTCCTCTTGTAATAAGATCTAGAGACATATGAAAGAGCGTAGCATGAGCCAAGATTAAAGGAACTGCTTCATACACGTGAACATAGGGGAACTGCATTATCAATAAAAGTACTATAAAGCGTGTAGGCACCCATTCTTTTTCTTTATATAAAGTTTGTTATTGCAATAAATAGCTGTTATTGAACTGCTTGCCTTTTATTTCAGTTTTTCTGAATTTTATTTCAGTCTACTTTCCGTGGTTTCCTGGTAGATGTTAAAAAAAATGTTATGTTTTGTTATGGTATCATTTTTGTACTCACTACTAAATCCAGGGCAACTCTGGATTTAAAACCAGAATTTATCATCCTTTGGGGCACAAAGAAAGTTATGAGGGGGAGGGAGGGACCTGACTTCAAGTAGTTTAAAGATATCAAATATAATTAAAGGTTTGATCTGTATGGCTCCTTACTGTAATGACCCTCATGTTTTTCCTCCCTCTTCCCTCCTTTTTCTCCCAAATTCAGCCCTGCTTTGAGTTTCACATACCCTCCTACACCAGTATCCCTCCAGCAAATGCATCAGCAAATTATAAGTCGTCAGCAAACCCTAGGTTCAGCCTTTGGACACAGCCCTCCACTCATCCATCCTGCTCCAACTTTTCCTACCCAGAGGCCTATCCCTGGCATCCCCAGTGTCCTGAACCCTGTCCAGGTCAGCTCTGGACCTTCTGAGTCCACACAGGTGAGAGGCAACAAAAGAAAACCTTTACACCCCACTCATTTAAAAATTAAATAAATGGCATTGTCTCAATGGCAATTAATCACCACTGTCACTGAGACCTTTCGATAACAGTTTTCTTGCAGCTATAGTGTTTGCAGTCACTTTATTATAAATCACAGGAGTGTATGCGCAGTTCCTGATTGGTAGTGTGCTTTTTAGTCCTCATAAATATTTCAAGGTGCTGCAGCATCTTCTTGATCCATGCTGTCTCTCCTGGGCCTTACACAGGAACTTAACAGAGGTGAGAAGTAACAAAAAGGGGCAAAACACATCAAAACACTAACCTTTTAAAGATTAACAACTTCACCTTCAAATCAGGCTGACTGTAATATAGTCAGCCCTCCTGGTACAGGTGTGAGTAACTTGAAGTGAGTAACTCTGTGATTGAATAACTCAAAGATGATGAAAAGGATCAAAGGGTTTTTTTCTCTGATTTGTGCAAAATTGGATTTACTGTGTTTAAATTAATCATTTCAATAAACCGAGGTGTATTCTCAAAAGCTGGGGACGAGCAGCTGTGAATCAGGCCCATAAGGTGGTGTTTATCACAGTTTGTGATTTACCTGTTATTAACTGGTGCTATTTGTTTCCAGATGACCTGGGATTGGTTATTTATCAGTCTTGGAGCTGTTTATCTCATGGCTAGCTTTTACAAATGTAGAAGCAGAACATGCTGCTGTAGGAAGCATATTGATTTTTTTGTGGGGTCCATGCAAGTTCAGATATCTCTAAAAGATCTCTGGATTCCTACGAGATTCCATTTGCAGGTGTAGATAATAGTGTTCAGTCTAGCACAGCAAGAGAAACACAAGATTCTGGCCTGCTTATGTCAGCTATTTTGCTATTGACTTGGGAGAATCCAGGACTTCATCTAGGATTTTTTGTCTGAGAGTCACATTAGTGTACAGTTTTTCTTTCTATCCACATAATAATGGGAAACGTAGTAGAAGAGCTGAGATCTTGTGTGCAGATGTTAAGTGCAAAACCTTTCCTGTAAGTGTGAAAAAATGAATTTTTCTCTTACGTTATTTGAGTACAGTGATTCTGGTTTTCAAAGTTGCCTTTCCAAAGTTGTCATTATGTGGAAAATCAAGTTCTTCCCACCCTTACCTGGCCTGACAAAGCCAGCATTAGTTTGTAGCAAGGAATTACATCAAATGGCCCCCTTCCTATTCCTTCCCTGCTCTGTTACAAGGTTGAGCAATGCACCTCTTCCCCAAGTTAATGCTATGTAATTGAAGTACAATTGTAATTGCATATTCCATGTAACTAACAGTGTAGCTTCTCCAAATAAAGTTGCTGAGCAGATGCTGCATATTTTTGTTTGGAGCTTGTTACACTCCAGATTTTAAGCCATAACTTGCCCAGAGTGGTTACATTTTATTTAAGACTTTTTAAAAGCCTTTTGGTTTGTTATAACCTTGAATTTGCATCCGGAGAAAGAGTCACACACTCTTCTCTAAGAGAAATTCTTTTAATTTAGTGGGAAAAATAAGATATTTTGGCAAAAGGTTTTATAGGAGTAAAATACAATCAAGAAAAAATATTTCACTAAAACACCCAGCGCAAAGACCCATTCCACTGAAAACACTCACTACAAACAATCAATATATCAGCTTTAGTGAGACACTTTTCATTGGTTTTAAGTTACCCACAAGAGAAGGAAAAGAGTAAAAGAAGAAAACAGGCTAAAAGGGTAAAGAAAGAGAAGGAGAGAGAGGACAGGAAAAATGGTTACCGACAAGATCTGATGGTTCATGTGGTGCAGGCAGCAGGAGAAAAGAGAGAGACAGAGCTCACATGGAGTCTCGTGTATTTACAGAGTTCAGTTTTCCCTCCCAGGCAGGATATCCAGTCGGTGCCTTCCAGGCCAGAGTGAGGTGTGCTGCAGGCAGTCACAGGCTCCAGGGGCTTGGTGTGGGTGGGCTACCAGGCAGGTCTGCCTTGACTGACAGCCCGGCTGCACCGCCTTCAGTGATGCCATGGGCTCATGTGGGCTGCAGGACCTTCCAGCTCTGCCCTGTGCCCTCAGCACAGGGACCTGCAGGTCTGGGCCCAGCCCTTCCCCGCACGCACACACACACTGACAGTGAGTTGGTTCTGACCCATATCAATAATTCAGTGCGATTTGGATACAGTATCTCACAGAGCTACATATCTATTACAGTCTAATTTTGTCTTTTTTTGGGGAAAAAAAATCCCCAACTGCCTTCAGCAGAATAAACCCACAAGTGAATCTGCAGTGAGCAGCACAGGAGATCCCATGCACAACAAGCGCTCCAAGATAAAGCCTGATGAGGACCTCCCCAGCCCGGGAGCAGGAAGCATGCAGGTATGGCAGTCAGGTTGTAGTCATAAGCTTTTCGTCTCACTGCTGGAGGGAAAAGGCACCTTGTCTGTAGCACATTTTCAGGCTCCCTGCACTCACACGGCCCTTCATCTAGTGCACACACAGGCAGCCTCAGCTCACGGTAGCGAGGGCTAAATGCGAGGGGCTGCTGGGGTACAGCGTCTGCTGCAGAATGGGGGTAGAGAGGAAGGAGGCTGATAGAGAGGCACCTCTGATCAGCCAGAGCATGCTCAACCCTCTCTTTGTCTTGGAAAAGTGAACAAGAGACAGGTTTTTATTGAGGATATGTGTTCTGTTCAGCAAAAATACTTAAGGCCACCTTGACTTTTACCAGGTCTTAGCACTGTAGTGCACTGAGGCCCCACTGTCGGGCTCCAGTCTCATTTGCTATACTTTCTATACCAGTAATGCCACTGGTTTTAGTAGAGTGACTCTTGATTTACAGTGACCCAGGGGAGATTAGAATCAGAGCCTCAGTCTTGTGAGTGAATACATGAAAACAAAGCAGAGGTCTGCCTAAATCCTTCAGCAGGTTCAAAATGGAAAAATAGCAGAAGTGCATAATCTGAACCAAATGTTTACACTAATATCTGACTCTTACTCTCAGCAAGTAACAAGCTAAGGAGAATGAGGGACCCTAAGGAACTGAAGGTGGGAAGTCAAAACCCAAAATTAAATACTTCTTTCCCCTGCTCACTCCTTCTATTTGCATGTTATGGGCAAGAACAGACTAACAAGTAGCTTGAAAATTACCAGTCTGCTCATGGAAGAGTTTTAGTGTGCAAACCTGTCATTGTTTTAACGCTGGAAACACACTTTGGGTTACTGGTGATCTTTCAACTATATTGAATAGTCTTTTTTTCATTAGTGGTGCCACTGAATCAAGAGAGGCAGATGTACAAATAACAAGCTGCTTAAACTAAAGTGTGAGGGAAGCCAAGCCTTTGTGATTTATTTTTTAATTGGAATGTAAAGGGATTTCTGTTTTAGAAAGTCTCTGCATTGAGTACTTCTGGGAATGAAAAATTTATTTTACATGTATAGTTTACAAATGGCTTCTGGCTTGTCAGGCCTGCTTTGGGCTTCTGTATTTTGTAGAATAGAGTAACGTAGTGAACTGAGAGTAAAATAATATCCCTCACACCCCTGCCTATCATCTTTCTCTTAATGCTGAAGTAATTAACTTTTCTTTATCCTCAGTTTCAGACTTTCCTCTCTCTTCTTCTCACCTCTTGTTTTTTTCCTCTCTCCAGGAACAGCCAGAAGGAATGACCCTGGTAAAAGAGGAAGGGGACAAAGATGAAAGCAAACAGGAGCCTGAAGTGGTCTATGAGACAAACTGCCACTGGGAAGGCTGTTCTCGGGAGTTTGACACACAGGAACAGCTAGTGCATGTAAGTTAATGGTATTCAGGAACTAGGTTTTAAAACTATGTGACCTTTTTCATGGGGGTCAGGTTCTGTGACCCTGTGCTGAGTCAAGTTTCTTAGCTAACAGCACTGCAAACTGGAGAGGGGTTTATGAGTTTCTGAGAATAAAGAAAACTCAGAGCCACAGTGCTTGACCTGTTCAGTCAGCTAAAGCTTAGTGTAAAATTCAATAAAGTCTTCAACAGAGATTGTAATGGCTCTGATCCTGTAAGCCAGCAAACGCTATTTTGAGTTAGAGACTTTGATAGTTATTGAGTAATAGTAAGCTGGACATGAATGATTATTAACCTTTAGCCAAGTTTGATTTTTTTCTCCCCAAAGGGGTTGTAACAGTAGAAATGGGTGAGGGGAATGCTTTCCCTTCCCTAAGGGGGGGGTTTGCTATCAATTTACTGTTGTCTGTAAACTGAAGTGGATTATTTGGCTAAATACATGGATACTGAATTACATCAATCTTTTTAGCAAAAGCAAACTGTATGATCTTCTATTGTGCTACAACAAATATTAGTTGTATCTGCCTTGCTTTTTATTCCTCTCTGACACTCTCTAAAACAAATGATTTCTACTCTTTTGTAGCATTCTAAGCTAGAAAATGAGCAAACAAAATCTGGAATATAACCTGGCAAGTACAATCCCCCCACAGTTCCAACCTCCTTAGCTAACAGCACCTTTCTTAATTACTGGCATTGCAGAACATATTGAATACTCTGAAAAAAGTGAATTCCTCGTACAGAACAGAGAGGAACATCTTCAGCAAATGACCAGTGTGTCGGAGTTGTATTTATTTTAGCAAACAGTTTAATACTTTCCTGGACATCGGGCAAAATCTATTGCAAAATGTGGCCAGTACTACTGAAATAGCTTGTTGGAAAATTTAATTTTTCACCCAAAATAAACAAAGCACGCCTCACCATATATTTCCAAACAATATGCAAAATGGTAAACTGATCCTGCAAAGCTGACTTTAGTAAAAGCAATGCCAACTTCCACTTGTTGGAGTGCAAGAACCTCTTGTTGTTGCAGTTATTCATCAAGATGTATTTTTGGGTTCTTGTTATTATTAAATAGTAGCAGCAGCAGTAACAACAATAATGATAAATGAAAGACTATTAAAAAGTAAAATAATGTAAAAAATGTGACATTTATTAAATAATCCTTTGGAGACATTTTGCACAAATAATTCCCTAACATTTAAATAGGCCAAAATGAAAAGTGAGGAGAAACTGTTTTGGTGTCGCAGTATCTTTTTGGGAAGAAAAGCCACACAAATGGCTGCTGCAGAGTTGGACACATTTAAATTAAAAGATCGAATGTTGATCTTTGAATTGGTTCTGTGCAAACAGACCAATTGAAATCATGTGGGGCTCTGCTTAGGCACAGTCTTTATATCTGCTACTGATTGTAAGGCTGAAGCTTTATGATACCTGGCAAACCTTTCTCAGTATCCCAGTGATGATGATAAATAATATGCATGAAAACATATGAAATGAGAGACAAATTCAGAATAAAGGTACCCTTGGTAATGAAAAAAAAGAAGAGGATTTTTAATGTTTCAGATGTAAAATTTAATGGAATTGCACTGAACTTGTTAGCTAATACCTCATATTTTATATTTTAAAGTGAATTAAATTGACAGTGTGATAGTCTAGTTGTTTTGGAGTTTTTTTAAGTTCATTTATTGGTTTTGGTGGGATTTTTTACCAAATCTGACTGCATTATAATTGTCAACAGCAAGAGTGGAAAAATGTGTATTTCTTTAGCTTCTGCACAATTGTAACATCTGAAATGGTTTCTCTGCACATAAAAAAAGGAATATAAGAAGTTTTTCTGTGATACCAGTAGTTCATTTTGGCAGGGCTCAGAATGCGGGTATGTTATGATGACATTTAAGACTACAAGGTGCAAGTCTTGACTCGATACCCTGAAGACAATAAACTCATCATCGCAACCATCACATTTAAGTAGCACAGATCATGCTGTAAGAGTCAGCAGGACTCAGTGATGGGGCCCTGGTTTGTGATTTCTTTTGCTGTTCTGGCAGAGCCCTGCTGAGGGGACTTGAACAAGTTATTTCTGCCCAGAATTGCAAAGGACTTTAGACATCTAACTCTGTTTGAAGGTCTGGCCGCTCACCCCAGTCTATCTCTCACGCATTTCGTCTGCCCTTGATTGCCACAGCCCTCTGATGTACACCTGCAGCAACTAGGGAAAGGAAGTCTGGTCTCAGTAGGGCTTCATGGGAGGGCAGTCCTGGTTTTGCTTAGGTGTGTCACTCTGGCAAAAAGTGTTCAGTCCCTGAGCAGCAGTTAGGTCTTTGAAAATCTCTCCAATGATGTGGCTCATGTATGCCTCCTACCCAACTACTGGTAGGTAAATCCAAGTACATACAAATTGCTGTAACTGCGCTTAAATCAGTGTCAGCACTGTTCCTGAGTTCCTGCCTTGGCATGTGCATGTGCATGCCTGCCATTGTATGTGTCTCAGAGGCCTGTGTACATCCTTTACTCAGTACTATTTACACTGCAGTAGCAGCTGCAGGCCTCACCAAGTCCACAGTCTCATGGTGCTAGATGCTGCTCAAACGAAAGAGAAGAAATGCACCTGTTATGGGCATGAGGTCTTTCACCCTGCAGCTCTGTGGCCACGTACGTCAGGCTGTTTGGTGCTGTCTGGAGGTGCCTGAGACTCCAAATCTTGCAGCAGAGCTCTGCCATGATGTCTCTCCTGGCTGCACGTGCTGCTGTTCTCCTGATGATTCCCAACCCACTGGCAGACTCAGTTGCTCCAGCCAAGCTTGAAGAGCTTGAAGATTTTGAAGTACGGTGCTGGACAGGATGTCAAAAGTATAGATAAACATCCTGTTTTGTTGCTTCTGCTCTGGAGTAGTAATCACCAAGGCAGGGGCAACTGGCATAGATAAAGGCAATAAAGGCTTTAATTGCCCTAACAAAACTCATCCAGGTAAATCTGCCATCTTTCTGTACTGGTTGTAACCATACATAATAGTAAGAGATCAGACCCAGAACGGAGTGTTATTCTAGTCTTGCATCCCAAAGCACTGAAATTTTAGTGTTAAAGTGCAGTGTTAAGGAAAGAGATGGAAGTATGTTTCTAGCTGGTTTTTTTTGTTTTGTTTTCTAAAGGGTTAGATACCTCTGCGTGAATTCTAGTCATGCCAGATTGAGCAGAGTTCAGAATAGCTTTTTCACAATACACAGTACACACAGTCTCCATATTATGGATGTCATTACTCCTATTATGTATAGGGTGTATGTACAAGCACATATGCATGTGTTTTGAAAAAGGTAAATATGACTGTGCATATTTTGGTCTTTCTGTCACATGAGGATAGCTTTATTTTTGGGGAACGATGAGACACAATTTACCTTAAAATTAACTGTAGGTGAATCAGATTCTAGTAGTATCTGCACTACAAAATGATGTGTGATATAGCATGTATGAAATGGTAAATGCAAACAAAATCTGTGTTTGAATATAGCTTTAGAGCAGAAATTGCAATTTTGGGCACAATAGCCAGCATTTTATGTCATTTTTCTGCATTACTTTCTGTAGCAAAATCCTGCAGTTATTAGGGTAAAATGTGAGTGCCAGTGAAAGTGTTCTTAGGCCCCAAGAGACAAGGTTTTCTGTCTAAATTTATTAGCAGAACCTGGGCTGCTATGAATAAATAACTGAAAAGCTACCTAAAAGAATCATTATTGACCCACCCAGAAGGGTCTGACACTGCAATGATTTTGGCATGGGTGCTCATATTTTCAAGCGATATGTGCCACTTAGAATTCAGCATGGTTAAATTTTCATGATACATACACCAAAAGGCAAGGTGTTAAACCATTCACTCTGCCTTATTTATAACACCTATCCATCCTTTCCCCCCCTCCTTCTCTTACAGTTAATAGAAAGATTCATGATTCTTCATGGTTGTCTATCTAGCCTCTGACAGTACCGACTGCACTGTTAAAGCAAGTCACTATCTATAATTGATATCCTTCTATGGAATAAGGTACCGGCTGCAATTGAAGGGTTTTGCTGAAAGCTCTTAAATCCTGACAAGTTCTGCCCTTGTTCTGGTTGTCGCTGAGCTGCACTGCTGGGATCCCAGGGTTATTTGAAGTTGATGCAGAAGGGGTGTGTGTGTTGCACATTAGCAAAGCACAAAGTTGGTGAGCTGCCACCGCATTCCCCTGCCAGGTAGTCTTACTTACAGTGTGTTGCACTCCTGAAAAGGTTGGTTACGTTACTGTTTAAAATGTGTATTATAGGTTTCCTTCTTTTCCTTCTTCTCCTCAAAAAAAAGATCTTATTTATTTTAAAGCCTCAGTTTGCTGCTGGGGTCTTTATCATTCAGCTGTTTAATTAATTTCTCTGCCCAGCGAGATATTATAATTGGGCTTAGCTGAGTTCAAGTTTGTTTTAAATATGCGATAAATGCTCTTGAGCGCCCAGAAGCTAATAAGATATTGTATATATTTATAAATCTGCTTTTTGTTGCAGTTTGTCTTTTCTTGTTCCCCCCAGAAATCAGTTTAAGAATAAAATATTGCAAAAGGGTTAGACGCTAAAGATAAAAGTTTGTTTAAGAAAATTATCCTTCAAGGATATGACTGAAGTTATTGTTAAATATTAATACAATGGCAATCAGAAAAACGCAGCATTGCCTATTTCTCATCCCCCTTGCTGTGTAGCCTTGATGATAATTATTTTTTATTCAAAAACACGCTTGAAGAACTGTAGAGCTGTTTTTTGTTAGTGTTTTCTCCTTAATTGTACAGCAATAAAATTCTCTCATTGTTGTTACATTTGATTAGATGAGATCAAAAAGCCCTAAACTGAAAGCAATGGCTTACATTCAGGATTTCATTTGCTGAAGTCTTCCTGTCTGTTTGCAAAGCCCCAGTGACTGGAGCACTCCCCGGGCAGTCCCTGGGGCAACTGCTGTGCTG